GCACACTTTCGTGGATAGTGAAAGGCATAAAAAACAAATGTGTAAAAGTCAATTGTTATCCGGTAAAAAGCAAAGAGGGGAAAAAAAAAAAATAACAGCACAAATATTTGCCATATAGCTCAAAGGGTCGTCGTCTTGAGTAGAGCCAAAACAGATTTGGTATTTGAGTGCTAAATTTTGAACACACATATATGTAACCATCATCATCGTTATACTTAATTATCTTCGTTGGTCTTTCACCACTCCTGTCTTCGAACTCCAGCCATCACAGTTTCCCTCGAGGAGTCATCGACTCTGACTGACACAGAACTAAGGCAACACCTGCAAAAGAGATTGTTTCCTTGTGGTCAATGACTATTCTGCTGAAAGCATGATAAGATGCAAATGTTGGTCACATCTCAGATCAGAAAAATGCAAGAGATGAGACACAAGATTCAATCAGACATCATACAAAAGACAATGAAGACTTCAAACTTACTCTCTGGGGGTGCACCTACGACCAAAGCTCTTCATACCTACATGGGTTCCTCTGACCGCGCCATGGTAAGTGGTAACACCAGCAAGGTAGGAAGATTGCAATCAGGGTAGTTCGGAATACAATCAGTGGATATTATCTTAACAAACTCTGTTGCCGGGTATCGTCTAGACAACCCAATATCAGATTAAACAAGATATGAACAAATTTTAGTATTTCAAGCATGTCACAGTATTGCTTCTTTAAGATGATGCGCGAGATTAAGGTTAATAATTTAAACAGAAGATCATATATGTAGCACAAGTACATGTTAGGGCTTGGGGTTTATAGTTTGTTGATCCAAAATGTGAAATGATGTAGGATGCATTGAAGGGAAGTGTGTTGGAGATGCTGGCTAGGAACAACCGAAAAACAGAGCTTCAAATTGGTTTTAGGATCTGTTTCTTGTTATTGTTGTCTTCTCTTTCGCGCTTCTGTCTGGTTTAAGTTTGTTTATGTATCAGGAAACCAGCGGTTATAATGATCGTTGGAGTGAACGGAGGTGGGAAGAAGACCCCACATCAATTCGCTTGGCTTGCACTTGGAAAAGCCAAGAAAGATACTGTGTGTAAGAGTAGCTTTTGATCATTGGGATAGTAATAGAAAGATTGGGTATAGAAAGTTTTGAGCCAAAAGAAATTAGAGGAAACACAACTAAACGAAAAGAATTCTGACAAGATCTCACCAACACCAACAGAAGAGTTGTGATAAACACAAGAAAAAATAAACAATTGAATTAGACGCAAGCGAGCCAAGCAACCTGGCCTAGAAATGCATCAACCATCTCGTTTGCGATACCAAGAGCATCCTCATTTCTCCCTGCTTTTCGATATGCATTTATCATTGTTATGTATGTGGAAACATCAGGTTCCACCAAACTGTCTGAACACATTTCTTCAAAGAAATTCTCTGCTTCCAACAACATGTTTCGCTCGTTGAACTTTGTGATAATGTTTTTGTAACATGTAACTCGTGGGTGCTCCAACTTCAATGCTTTCACAGTTTTGAAATTATGGAATATTGCTTGTTTAAACCGACCCATCTTGAAACACTCATTCACCATAATATTCATTGTATCCGAATCCAAATTGTGCATCTCCTCGCTATCCAAAACTTGTTCCAACACGGTCCAAGCTTGGGTTTTTTTGCCATACTTAAAAAGAAGTTCCAAAAGTGCATTGACAGTACTAGCTTCCGTAACTTTTCTAAACTTCAATAGACTATAACACTGTAAAGCTTACTCCTCATTACCTTTCTCGAACCAAAACTCCATCAAAGTGGTACTCAAAACCACAACTTTGTCATATTCGTAGGCGTAAGATCTCCCCTCTAGATCCCCCAATAGCTCAAGGGCGTCTTGTAAATCCCCTCGACGCCATAGCCTCTGAAACAAGCTATTGCACACATCCGAGCTCAAAGAGGAAAACACCAAAGCTTTGGTAATTAGAGATTCCGTATCGAAATTGGCCAGTGAGGAGTCGTATAGGTCAAGAGCGTCGTCCAAACGTCCTTGATCCAAGTGGTATTTGATCATGTGATTGGAGTAACCCCTAAAAGGTTTGATTTTGGAATCACGGAAGAAATAATTGAATAGATCCAAGGCGTCTCTATATCTCTTGGCTTCGCACATAGCGCCGATGATTGCGTTGCAGGTCTCGTTGATGAAGTGGGCACAATTGCCCAAGTCATCGTTAACCCAAGCGCTTGAGAAAACAGCAAGTCGCGCGTGCTTAGCCGCGTTGTCAAGGTCTGGCAAGCGGATCAGGAAATCAACTCTCGCTTGTAGAGCCAACGGTCGGCAATCCAAGTTGGAGGAAGAAGAATGAGAGGAGAAGCGAGATATCGAATTGTGGAAGCAGCCACGGCCGACCAAGACGAGCCGGCGACAGAGAAACATGGCGGCGATCTTTTTTCTTTGTCGTCCATCTGATTATATTCAAATTGACAATAGTTAGGCCCAAACTGAATACACTTAATGGGCCGTAATATTGTCCAAATTAAGAAGAACCTACGAGAAATCTCGTTTGTGCCTGAGGAAGGAAGAAGAAGATCTGTCACTGCAAAAGAAAAACCTTATCTTTCAATGGCTTCCACTTTCGTCTCTCTACCAAAACCCTTCTTTGCTTTTCCGGTCAAACCCGTTACTCCTCCTTTAGCTAATCATAAGCTTCTTCTCGGTACTGACAAATCTGGAACTTGTTGTTATGTCTCAAGCTTTTCGTGTTTTTTTTTTTCCCCGTTGTTTACTCTTGTTTCTGCAGGAAGTCGAAGAGGTTGTCTTAGAATCAAAGCGATTTCCACTAAATGGGAACCGACAAAGGTACTTCCTTTTCCGTTTAATTTCATCCAAAAAATGTATCAATTTCATTAGTTTGAATGGGAGATTGTTTGTATGGTAATTGCAGGTTGTTCCTCAAGCAGACAGGGTTCTTGTTCGTCTTGAAGAGCTTCCTCAG